CATTACTATTTATTCTCTTTGGTGGTAGCTACTAGATTTTATAGTCTTCTTTTTATAGAAAAAAATGTTTTTTAGATAAAACAAGAAGATTTATTAGAGAGAGAAAAATAATAAAATTGCAAAACTGGAGGATAAGGGTCCTCCTAACCAAAAGAAAAATGAACGCAAAGTGATTCCACCCTGTAAGCTATTTATAATAGCTTTCCAGTTGCAATGGAGTGAAAAGATACTAGTGTTATGAGCCTATGTGCTTTACCCAGAGGATTATGAAGAAAGCAGCTATTTCACGCAGCTCATAAAATAATGTGTGGTAGTCAGTAACACTCCAGCAGTTTCAATTTATCCATAAACACCAAGTCCAGCAAATAATATCCCTTGCCAAAGAGGTTTTGCCTCATTCACACCCATCACTATGAATAGAAGAACAAAGAAGGCTCTTCACATTTCATGGAGTAACCCATTTCAAACTGAAAAAATCAACCAATTTTGTCAAAACTTCCATGTTGTGGCATTATATAACAATAGGTGAGCAGATTCTTCTCCCTGTGAAGCACATGAAGCAGATGTGTTGAGATAAGGCTTGGTATGGTCGACAAACTTGAATCATATCATATATGTTGAGCTTCAGGTGAATAACAGTTCATAAAGGCACCTTAATTTTTTATGGAATCAGAGCTTTCTAGAATACACTGGCAATGTGAAATCGGCTAAAGGGGTTATCAGGAATGGAATCAAAGAAAGAATTACATGTATATAGCCTAGTTCGTTCAAAAACCCAAATTCTAGTGTTTGTTTGAGGCAATGAATGAATAAGCTCTAACAAGTCTAATAAGGATACGATATCAGGAGTCTTGCTATCGGATGTTAATGAGTGAAGTGAAAGTTCCAATAACCCTTATAAATGTTGTTGATTACTTTGTGCCACAGAGAGTTTGGTTCCCATGGAAAGTGGCAAAGTCATTTAGTCAATAAAGATATATTTTTTGATCTCAGATTCTCAACATCCTAGCCTCTTAGACATTTGGACAACAAATCTCTTATCTCGCTAGGTGGTCTCGATTCTCCTCCTTTTGTCCTGCCTACAAAGAACGATGCATATACCCCTGAATTATCTCTGCTACTCTCATCGGTGTCCTCAATAGAGACGAAAGATACATAGATATACCAGAGAGACAGGCTTAAATAAGGACTACGCTTTCCTCTAGAGCGATCACCCTCCTATAACTATATTAACTACTCCATCATTCCCTCCTCCAGATTAATCCCAATGGTCCCACTCTTTGTCAAGTTTATTCTTAATTTGGAAATTTGCTCAAACACTTCAATGAGTGTGAGCGCACTACGGATGAACTTTTCATTATATTGCAAAAATAGAATTGTATCATTAATAAATTGGACATGGGGAACCTCTACCCTATTTCTCTACCATAAAGCCCTTCAAGATCCCTCTTTTCAACTCTCTAGTCAACATCCTACTCAATACATCCACCACTGTCCATGACATTTTATAACTATTATTGAACCAATTATCTACAATCAAGTAACTGAAATTTTGATTAGTTTTAGTTTAAAGGCATTAAATGAAAATTAAAGTTAATTTTAACAAGATATTGGTTCTCTTACTTGTACTAGCAGTTAGAAATAAATAAACAGTTTGAAACTATTCATAAAGTTGTTGCAGGAGACAAAACGAAAATATCAATACTTTATTACTGTATCTGACAATATCTTCAAGGCTCAAGAAGCTGGTTTCTTGGAGTTATTTTATTATATCTACAATGTAGCACAATGGGACAGGATTTAGGGACATGGAAAAATTAAAGAAAATAAGATAAATTCAATCAAAATCAAAGTGACACAAGGTTTTCACAACTATAATCACATGAATATTAGGTACTCAATTCGATGAGAGGAAATCACTAGTGTTATTCATAAGTAACTATAGAGTGCCTACATAGTCTAATGCGACTAGGATCCTCGAATAGGAAAACAATAAAGATACACATAAAATTTCTAAATGAATAAGAAATAAAATCTTGATTCTACTCTAGATAGTTTCTAAAAGAGCTATATACCCCAAATAATGTCATTTTAATCCAAACAAATCATGATCCATATCAATTATTTTCAAGAACAAAATTATTTAGGTCTTTCATATATTTCGAAATCAAGCATGTCCTGAAGCTTCTGATAACATTCCACTTGCAGCCAATACAACCACAACCTAACTTGCATGAGATTTAACAACCGAAACTACTAGTTCAACTGGTAATGACCCAGGAGCCAAAGATAGCAGAGCATAAAGAATCATATTCACCTTCGAAACAATCTTATCAACTACACAAGCCATAAACTTGCAGTCAGGAAAGTGACATCTTACTCAAACGACAGCCTAAATGGAGCAAGTATGGATGGTCTGTCAATGATTGAATTAAATATTTTGTAAATCCTATCTCATATTATATTCAACAAAATCATACCTCATGTTTGTTTATTTGTTGCTTCCACATTGCAGCATCCCAGAAGTCCACTCCCATATCTCCCCAGTACTTACCGACTTTCAGGTCGGTGTGCATTTCTACAGCTCCTGCTTGCTAAAAACAACAAAAAACCAAAAGAAATAAATTTTTTCAAACATTTTTGGGTTCGTTTTAAAGCCATACAAATGGAACAAAGAGAAACATATATATATATATATATAGCGTGAAAAAAAAGAAAGAAAAAAGCCTCATCTTAAGCTCTAGCTTCAACTATCATGCCATACCCTACAACTTTGTTCATTTTTTTTGTCAACATCCGATTGAAAGAATTTGTCAAAATAATTGTATGCTAAAAATTTGAAAAAGAAGTGCTTTACACAAAGTAAATTTTCAGTCAAAAATTTCTGGACTTCAAAATAATGCGACCAATCTTCCTAGTGAACAAATGGTTATATAGAAATGACATAAATTTGAACAAAGAGTAAAATTTTAAAAACTTATCAAACAACCACATGCAAATTTTTATACAGATCCTCAGACAGAAAGATTGGGTAAATGAGAAGTACTTGAGTGACTAAAACAACTTGGGGAACTAGGAAGACTGCAAAATTTCGAGAAGGCTTGCGGAAGAGATGTGCATAACTGCGTAGAAGCATGATGGAAATCATGGTCTTGCCGGAACCGGTTTCCAAGAACACTATTGTGTTCTGCTTGATTGCCTTTTCAAGTGCCTCCACTTGATAACTGTATCAGACATCAAAAAGAACAAACAAGTAATATCACTAACTTCAATGAATTACCAAGCCAATTCACGTTAAAAACACCAGTAAACGAAGATTGTTTTATCTTCTTTCTGGCATCTCTCGTCAACCATGCGAGCATCCAAAAATAAAACATGTATACAGGGGAAAACAAAAACAAAAACAAAAAGAAAAGGCACCTTCTAGCAAATGAGAGAGGATCAGCAGCGACTTCATCGTATTTTTCTGCTTCCATGTTTGGCGGATTCATATCTGTGCAAATGATCATCACGACATTCACGAAATGAAGAGAAGCTTAGTAAAATCAAAGAGGAATTTGAATTCTACATAATTAATAAACGAGAATAAGAAGATTTCAAATTAAAGTGCTCTTTCTTCCACCGCAACAACAATAATCTGAGAGAAATAAACAAGACCGGCGAATTATCCATCTGAAAACCAGCTTAATCAAGAAACGGACGGGAGAAAAACTGAGCAAAGAGAAGAGAGCGAACTGAGTCGAGTAGGAACCGTTGTGATTCAATGAACTAAAAATTAACATATAAAATTTTTTGTTTTAAATTTGAGGCACTTCTTTTAAGTGCAACTTCTCATGGAAGTTAGTCATCAATTTAGTGTGCGTTTGACCGGACATTTACTTTTAATTTTTCTTTTTGTTTTAAAATATTTTTAATAAAAATTAAAATTAAAATTACTTTTAACAAGTTTATAATATAATTTTAACTTTTATAAAAATTTAAATATAAAAAATTATTTTTTACCAAATAATACTTATATTTTTTAAATGATAATACTTTTTATAAAATACCAAATATTTTTAGTAAATAATTATTTAAACAATATATATTGAACAAAAAAAAAAATCAAATATATTAAAATTTTTAAGGTACAATAATATCCTGCACAAAAAGAGGATTAAGAAAATCAGACTCATAAAATAAGGTAAAGCATTATCTACCTAAAAAACCAAAAAAAAAATATATAAATCTAAAAATTATAAATATCTATGAGCAAATCAAACTCTTAAAATAAAAATCGGGACCAAAAGGCAAAATTAAAAATTGATATTCTTCTATACAATATTTTATCTTAAAATTTTCTTAATTATAAACAATTATTTGTAAATATTTGGTTCGAAAAATATTTTGAATTTATAAAATTTGTTTACAATTTTCAAAATAAAAACCAAACCAAATTTTTTTATTTTTTCCTAGTTATTAATGCCTCAATTTTCAAAATGAAACTTTTGTTTTATTAAATGTACAATATAATGATTGTATTATGTATGAGGAGAATATGATATATCATATTAATCGTTAAGATAAGATAAATAAATCGAAGAGATAGAAAAATTTAATGACCTAGTAGATTCAAATCGATCTCTTAAAATTTATTTGCCTTTTTTTTTAATTAAAACAAAAATGGATTGGTTTGAATCGGATTGGATATTTATTTTCAACATATTAAAGCGGGTTTGAAAAATTTGTGTGCATAGTTCAAGAGTGGAGCGAGTTGGATAAAAAGTTTTATCAGAAACATCATAAGTGATATATATAATGATAATTTCATAAATCGATTCTAAATTCGAGATAAGTTTGGATTTTCTACATTCAAGTTTGAATCGGATATATATATTTTGTAAAATTTGTCCCAAATTTAATCTGTTACTGTTACTAAAATTAAAAAAAATTTACAATCGAACATAAATTACAAAAAAAAAAAAATTTATTTTCTAAAAATTATGATATGATAGCAAAAACTAAAAAGCGAATAAGAGAATAGAGGAAATAATTTATCTTGGCTATTACCTAATTGAGGATGCGAAGGTTTACCTTTTGATCAAAATCTTGTGTGGCCAATAAAATTCATCAAAACCTCCATTCTGTTATCTACAAAATAGTTATACAACTTTTAGTATGATAGAATGTAATTTGTTAACCTAAAATTTAGAATGAATTAAATTTTATCAATAAACACTAGCCTTGAAGGAGCAAAGAAATAAAAGGGTAAGATTAAGCAATATTACCTTTTACTTAATCAAGTTGCAGATCACGTTGCTAATAACACTTGATAAATAAACCCATAGTCCAAAGTAAATCCATCAACTTTTATAACTTTTACTTTTAAAAGTGAAGAGGTGGCGTGTTCAACCTTTCAAAGTAAAACCATAACTTCTTTTTATATTTTATTTATTGAACAAAATTGTTTAAAATTACTAGTCATCATATATATATTT